GGACTGTGTCTTTTAGGGTGTCTCAGGAAACCGGCGGTTCGTGCGCTGGGTGCCGGTCACGCTCTCGTCCCGCGTCGCTCAGGGCTGTCCGCTCGGCTGCCGCTGCTGTCTCCGCCCGTAGCTCTGGAGCGCGTTAAGCGGGAGGCGGCCGGGCTGGCTGCGCCGCTGCTGGGGTTTGACCTTATCAGCGACGTTTTAGGCCTTAAAGTTGGTGTTTACTCCGTGTACGCTTACGTCCAAGATGCTTCCCTGGGTGCCATACAGATTCTTTGATGTTTTTTTCCCTGGAATGAAGTGATTATTTAAAATAGGGACTTACTAAAGGTTAACCAGTCTCTTCACTGGAGAGTTTAATACCTGTCAGGGCTTAATTGTATTAACTGGTTGAACAAAGAACTTTGCAATGTGTAGTATGTCTTAAGCATTCAAGTTCAGTATCAGTAGAGGGGAAGTTTTTGAGGAAGGCACAGCTGACTACTGTTGCTGTGATGGATTTGATATTTCTGTCTTTGGAAAATGTTGACTTCCCCACTCTGTGGGAGCCTTTTGGAAACTGAAGAAGTGGTTTTTTTCCCCTTTAGTTTCTTGGTGACATGCTTAGGAAGCAACTGCCAGATAACAGCAGAATTTAGTTGGCACCTAGCAGCATAATTTGCTAACTCAACTGACACTAGTTTCTGGTTTGGTTTTTTTTTTTTTTTTTTTTAATGCATACTTAAAAGTTATTTCAAAAGAACCTATAAATTTTACCCTTTTAGGCATGGTAGTGTGAAGACAACAGAAAAAATTGCTTAAGACATCATAAGATACAGTATAAAACTGAGTTCTTGCATAGTAGGAAATATGTTTTTGTCTAAACACAGTGTTAGTTTATGAGTCTGCTCCCTGCTTCAGCAATCTCCTAGTTGCCTTTTCCGTGTGAAAAGAAACATTCCTGGGGGCAGGTGGGCTATGGGCTGTCTTGGGTGTGGTCTCATCCTGAGGGGTATGTGGAGAGGAGTTAATCTCGATACTTCTTGCCTAACCTCTCCTCAGATATCAGGCTCAGCTTGAGTAGATTTCATTTACCTGTGTAGGGATGAGAAAATGTCACTGCCTAGTTTCCCAGTTTAGTTTTCTGAGCTGCTCACTTTGGGGCTTACTTGTCAGTAAGAGACATGTGTAACTCCTCAGTTTTGTCACCCATCAAATAGAGCAGTGGAATAATCATGCCATTATCAGTCTGCTGTGAATGAAGTGTAAATAGAAACTATATCCTGCCATCAAATTCCAAACAAACCCCATGTTTTTAAATTTTTTTCCCTTAAAGTACTTACACATTGTAGTGTTAGGGAAACTGACTGTAAGGGTAGCAGCTTTGTGTTGATTTAGAGAAGAAAACTGACTTCTGCAGTTATAATTTTTTTTTCTACAAAGTTTAGTCTTGCATTTGCAACTCTTTGATGGTTTACATAAAGCGCTTGGTGGAGTAGGATGAGATTAATCAGCTGAAAAAGAGGTTTTACAGATAGGCATACCTGGTTGGTTTGGGTTTTTCTCGACCATTCTCAGGTCTTTGAGTAGTTTTGCAGCTTTTTTTTCCTGTGTAAGGTGTTAGACTTAGTAGTTGAGACTATTATTGCCCCAGAAACAGCCTTGCCTCAAAGTGTAAGTAAAATAACATATAATTTAATTTTGGGGGAGGTGTGTGTAGATGGGGAAAGGAGGCTCCTCATCTCTGGAGGAAAGTTCATGCATAGGTTTCATGTAGGAGAGTTTGTGGGAGAAAGTGACTGGAACAAGGATAAGAGCCTGATCATAAACCCCCTGAAATTAGGAGGTGTTTTGTACACTTTAGTTCATACTAGTTCTTTATCTTTTTGGTCTCTCAGCCAACAAAATGAGTAGGGTCTTGACATCAACTTTGTTTGAATCATCTCTCTGTGATGTGTTTGTCATGTGTGTTAAGTCCAACAGATTTCTGAAAAATACTGGTTTAAGTCATTCACAGTGGCGTTTTAATTGAAATTTTGTTGAAAAGTTAAGTACTGAATAAAACCCCCAGTTAATACTCAAAAAAAACCAAAACACATTCTGACTTGCTTTTATGGTTTTAATGCTTGTTTGGTTTTTTTTTCTAGATAAGAAGCCCAGCATAACTTTGAGACTGCAGTAGTACAATCTACAAACTTTGACACATTTTCTATTGAATGTTGTTGTCTTTTAAAAAAGTGAGTGTACTTAAAAAAAAAAAGTTTCCCGTGTTGCATTGTCTTACTCTTTGTCAGCAGGACACTTTGTCAGCAGAAAATGACTAGAGAAACAGGAAAACAAAACACTGTGTTTGCTCATCTGTGTGTAAATTTGGAGTGTTCTCCAAAAGTGGTGTTTTGTCAGATGCATTTGTATAATTTCTGTAACATCATTTGTAACGTTTTCACTTGGTATGTGTTCAAAGTAATGAGTTGTCATTTATTTTCTTTTTCTGAATTAAAATACCTAGATTGCTGGTAGGAATTAAGTTTTCTTTTGCTGCAGGTATATGGAATTATTTCTCTCTCTGTCTGTATACGGTTTTCCTGAACACAGAAGTCTTTGCTTTATTTCTCAGATGAGTTTGAGCTGTGGATAGATTTTGTCTTTCAAGTCAATCTGTTTAAAGTTCTGTTTTGTAGCTTGACAAAACTGACCTGTAGCAACTGTTAATGTATCCATTCTCATCAGTAATGTTTTGGTGTTTTTTTTTTCCTTCTAACAAAATAAACTTTTTTTGTGCTATTGCTAAGAGTGGGTATGAGTTTGTGCCCTGTGGTTGCTGGACACTGGTTTGTGTGTACAGTGCTTCAGTTGGTAGCAACGGGCCGACAGTGATGCTGTGATTTACGCATGGAGCCTGTGATGCCTGAGCAGCTTCCATAGCCCAGTCACAGTGACAGACCAAACCTGGAGCCTCTCCTGGGTTTGTTAGGTGGTAGGGACTTCACAGCTGGGCCAGCTGCCAAAACATTTGCAGTTAGCACCAAGTTGTAAAGGCTGAGCTTGATCTCAGTGGAATGTGCAGATCATTAGTTCTCAAGTCAACTGGCTTGTAGGTAATAATCTTTGAGGCTGAATTTTTTTTTGTCCTCTCTGTGATCAGATTCCTGAGAACTGCCATGGCCTATTTAGTGATTTGCTGAGTGCTTTGAGACAGGATGATGATGAAAACTCTTGTACAGGTTATGTGGCCTGTCTCTCACTGTGCTGAGACACATTATTCACTTTCTAAGAATACATCCAGGCCATATCCGTGTGTTTTCCTTGTCAGGTCATGATTTCCTCTCCAGCTGTGGTGTTGCTGGTGTACCAGGTAGTGGGTTTATTAAGGAGTTTATTGTTTTATTGGGTAGTTTAGGTTTATTAATGGCAAGAGTGATCTGTCATTAATACAGAAAATAAGAAAGGTGGAATTTGTCTGTAGGCTTCATTTTTTCATACAGGTTCAAGCATTGAGCTAGCAACATCCATGGTGTTCTGGGTTTCATTTAGGTCAATGTTTTGGAGTGCTATCAAGCAGTATGTCAACTGTAACTTGAAGTATTGTCTTCATGCATGTGTATTTGTTGCTGCTAATGGTTATTATTTGACAAGCTGGTTAAATTGGACATCTTTTCCAACCTTAATGATTCTATGATAAATCAGAAGACTGGGTCCTTGTGCCATTACTTGTAGTTCTACAATGCTGAGCAAAACTCAAGGCTATTGTAATGCTCATCTCTTTTTAGTGTAAGTGCTAAGGAGTAGCAACACTAAAGTTAGAGGTGGGAGAGATGATTTCTTCTCTGCAGTCATCTAATAGCACCTTCATAGCTAGTTTTCTTCTGTGATGAATCTCCTCTTAAACATCCTTATTTCACAGAGCTTTTGCTTAGTGCTTGCTGTAGTGTTTTCTTGAAATTTGACCCCTGTAGATGTTGTAGCATCTAAACACCAGGCAGCCCTGTTGTGTGCTTTTAATGACCTTAAGAAGTCTCTTCCCTGTGTTGCTCATACATAATTTTGCTTGTAGTGATTTTTATTGACTTACCCAGAACTGAAGAATGACTTGGGTGGCCAAAATCCACCAAATAAAAAAAGCCCTTCAGGAAGGGGCCAGCAGCAAATAGCCCTTTGTGGCTTAGTTCTGACACACTTGTAAAACTGAAGGAAAAAACAAGACTAGAAAGAGATAAGTGGTTTTGCCAGTAGTCTGGAAGTTAGAACTTTTCAAGATTCACAGCTGAGATTTTTGAGCTTCTTCCTCATCTGTTTGTTCAAATTTTTCTCATGTATTCCTCTTTCATTGCAACTATGCAGTCTGAACTCCAGCTGCTTGGAGGAGCCTCTGAGAACAGTGGCTTAGCTAGATGGAAAAATGCTGCTTTAAACCTTCACGTGGTAGGAATAGGTGTGCAGTGAAAAGAAGCCTCTTGTTTACTATTTTAAGTTACTGCACTTAAAGTAATTCTCACTAGTTCACAATCTGAAGCTGAAAGATTGGTTTGAACTTGGAAACTTCTTCTAAAGATAAAACCTCAAACTTGCAACCAAAAAGTAATTTACCCTTTGACTGTTTTCTATAGGAAACAAAACCAAAGGTGCAATAAGAAATAAACCACCATAGTTGAATGAATGAAGAATCCTTTTCCTGTTACAAAATTTTGGTGCTAATGTGTCAAAATTATTAGGCTTTTTTTAGAAAGTAGTGTTTGCTTCCATCTTTACACTGAATCAAACTCTTTGAAAACCTTAAATGTGGTGACGTGGACTTATGAGACAATAAATTGTATTTGTGAAGTACTTTTTAGTTGCTTCTGTTGAATATGTATTTTCTTTTCTCTGCTTGGTCGTTGCTGGGAAAGAATGGTTCAACAAGTTCCAGAAAACATAAGTTTTCCAAATGAAGAAGAGAAGATATTGGAGCTCTGGAAAAAACTGAATTGCTTCCAGGAATGCTTAAAGCAATCAAAGAACAGACCTAGGTAAGAATCTGCTAAAAACTCTAGTAGCTGTCTGCGACAATGCAAGGGTGGCTTAGCTGCAGTTGTGGTTTTTTTTTTTTTTTTTTTGGACTAGGTTCTGTTAACAACAGCTGCTCCCTTTGCAGATAACAGCCTTGGCTAATGTTACTGTCATGTCAGCTACTGTTTCTGTTTCACTTTGTGAAGGATCAACTGTGTCCAAGCAGTAGTAATAAACCTGTGATTTCCTGCTTGGTGGGTTTATAAAAGAGATCTGCAAGTAAGCAAGGCCAAGGTTTTCCTGCTAGCTGTGGAGCAGCATGCTGGTATTTTCTCTAGTCATCCTGGTAGAACTGGCAGTTGGTAGGAACTGGTTGAGCTGAAATGTCCCTTTCAGTCCCACTGCCAACATGATACCTATGCTGACTGATAATGGAATAGGAAGAGATTGATGTTGTCCTAGTTAAGAGATAAGAAGCATAAGCATACAGATATACTTACCCTGTTTGAGGATTTGATGCTTGTTTTTTGATTTAATTAGGAATGTTGTCCTGTGTTGTAGGTTTAACTTCTACGACGGCCCTCCATTTGCTACTGGCCTTCCACATTATGGCCATATTCTTGCAGGAACCATTAAAGACATAGTAACCAGATTTGCTCATCAGAATGGTTTTCACGTGGACAGAAGATTTGGCTGGGATTGCCATGGCTTACCTGTGGTACATGCAATAAATCTGCCTACAGATATTTCTGCTGCTTTCTCTTTCCATGTTGTTACTTGCTTACCAGTCATGTTTCTGTTGCTCTTACACCTGGATTTGTTGCTAAAAGAGTAATGGGAGTTCTTTGTCCTGTGTGTTGCTCTGGTTCTTGTGTGTGTGGTGATTCTGGGTCCTTCCTCAGCTGCCCTTCTCCAGGCACTCTGTTCATTACTATACATGTTTATTTGGTATGTATTTCAGAAAATGTTTTTTCTTTTTCGAAAGATACTAAAGAAACAGTCACATCAGAGTTATCCTTTAAAATGTCTGCTTAGTTCAGGTACAGTACTTTCCAAGAGATCAAGAAGGCACTTTAGCTTTGTTGGGATGCATAGAGAATAAATAAACTATCCAGAGAAATCCTGAAGGCTTTTGATGGCAGCATAGTGTTTTGGTTTTTTTTTTTTTTTTTTTTTTTTTTTTTGGTCTGTCTGTTTTCTGTGCTTCCAGGAGTATGAGATTGATAAGACCTTGGGCATTAAAGGGCCAGAGGATGTGGTGAAGATGGGGATTAAAGAATACAACCACCAGTGCAGGGGAATTGTGATGAGGTACTCGAAGGAATGGGAGGTAAGTAAAGGCCCGGCACCTATTCTGCTGTACATTTCTGGTTGTATGTGTGCACAAGTTTTCCAGCTGAACTTCATCCTTCTGTTTATTTGATTATGAGAGTAAATCTCATGTCTTCAGCTACTCTTTCTCACTGGTGATCCTAAAAGGGGAATAAAAAGAACAACATTGTGGATCAGGACAGAGAGGCTGCTCTTGTGTCAAGAGAAGGCTGTTTTAAACTAACATGGAGCTCAAAGTGCCCGACTAGATACGTGGAACATCTCATACTACATGGAACAAATTATCTCTTTCTGTCTCTGGTACAGAAAATGGAAAGTAGGATCGAACTTGGGCATTCAAATGAAAACACCAAAGGAAATGCACATTAACCTCCCTGCTTTTCTGCCCCACTGCTTTTCTGTCTCTTGGTGGCCAGTGCCTTTTATACAGACATTGCCAGTGCTTGCATTCCTGAGAGAGCAGAAGTTCTAGTAGCTGATTTTGTCATAGTAGGTGTGGGTGAACCCTCAGCCTTCCAAGAGAGTATTAGTCTAAATTTTGCATGCCATGAATCTAGTGATAGGGAGAAAGTTGGTCTGGGCAGACTCCTGAGGTTGGAGAGTAAATGGGTTAGATACTTTCTTGAGATTTGCAGGGCTTTTTCTATCTCTGTATAATATTAGTATGATGTGGAGAACCTGATAGTTATTTTTGTCCTCAGCAATGTGGCCAGAATAAAATAGGTTTAGCCCAGTACTTTGTATTTTCTGTCAGTCTGATACGCCTGTGAAGTGATGACTCACTGCTGTGGCTTTCAGGAGCTAAGGAATAGCCCAGGTGCTGTCCTAGCTGTGCACTGCCTTACAATGACAGCATGCAGTAGAAGAACACACCATATTCCTGAACAGTTTTTCTCTCTCATGAAATTATCTAGCTGCATTTTGATTCTAGGTATACTGGTAGCCTCTCTAAACTGCCTGTATCAAGGCAGTCCTACATGTAGTTTGAAGAACTGTAGTTCTTTGATCATATGGTTTGCAGTAAACCTTTATCTTCACCACTAGTATTTTCTTTTTCTTGGGCAGAATAATCATCATTCTTCAGTTTTTCCTCATGGAGAAGCTATTCTGCCTCCTCAAAATCCTTTGCCCATTCTTTAGTCCTGCTCTATTCCTTTTGATTGACATAGCGGTTGTTAATTTGAGTATCACTTGTCTCTTGCCCTTGGGAGAATTTTGAAGTTATGGCCAGTATCTGAAGAAACTACAGCTGCTTTTGTTAGAATAGCTGTGGCCTGAATCTGAGTGAGTGGCTGGGTGAAAAGCACAGTTTGTTTTTTTAGGTATACAGTCATTCAGCTATAGTCTGAAATTTTGCATTTTAAAAACATCATCAATGAATCTTTGCTGGTTTTAGAAATTAAAAGGAACAACTATGGGAAATGTTTTTACTTGCTGCATCTTCAGCAACTGGTGTTTTTGTAGTGCTGGTTTGTCCGAACAATCTTTTGGATGGTAAATGATTTTTGTATTTTGTTTTGTGCATAAGCTTGTGCATGTGTGTGTGTGTATTTCCACACACAGACATATATTTTAGATTACTAATAAAAATAATGAAATTTAAGTATCTTGTTTGTGAGTTGGCTGGTAATAAAATACTTTGGGATAGTAGTGTTAGGAGAGGAATTCCCAACATTCCTCTTGAGAGAGTGTTTTTCTTCTGTTTGAAGTGATTAGCAAATGTTTGAACCTTATGAAAGAATGTAAAACATTCTTTGAAGTATGGGATCTTTCAGTGCTGAGACTGAAAAATAACTCCCAACTTTGTGGATCCTTGTACTAATCAGTCCTTGGCTTTGGATATTAGTAGTGTGGCTTAAAGGTCAGAATCAAAACTGAATGTATTTCAGGAGCTCAGGTGTTATATGAAAACACAGAGGTGAGAGAGTTCATTTGCTTGTTTTTTCACTTGGCTGGTTGGATGTTCAGGATGGTCTATGGCTATCAGGAAAGGTGTCTCTGGGCTTGGTTATTTGCAGAGATAGGTGTTCTAATAGCTGTAAAGTTAGCAAGCAAGTACCCCTTGGCCAAGTGAATCCAATAGTTGGCTTGTTGCTCACTGGTTATGAGATTCTGTGCCAATGGACATCACCATAATCTGCTCTGAGATGGGGACTAGTACCTCTTGTAGCCCTGCCATAGCTTGGGGAAGTCAAAGAAGGCAGTTGACCCTGAAATGGTTTTGATAACTTCTCGTGACATATCAGTTTCTTTCAGCATTTCTTTGTCTTTGAATTACATCATGTTTTCATATAACTGAAAGCTGATAGACTGTGTGCTCTGGATTTTGACTCTCTGCAACGAGTGGCTTTAAAAATAGAAGCAGGGCCACTGTAATCAAAAGCAATTTTCAGGCGTTTGAACCTTGGCTGAACCTTGAATGACCCACCACTTCTGTTTGATGAATGAGCCCAGTGATCCACCATTTCTGTTCAGTTGCATTGAACACGTTTGCCTGTTGTATGCCTTGCTTCTGAAGAACTATCTTCATGGTTTCATTCTTTGCATATTTTTTTCTGCTTAAATACGCTGGATCTATGGTCAGGCTGAAATACTCACAGATATTTCTTTCATTTATACAGGACACACTACACTACGAAGTCCAACTGTTTTACAAATAACTGTTGGAAACATGTCATGCTCACTAATATTAAGATGCCTTTTGATGTGTGTGTTTGTTTCTTTACAGTACAATGTTACCAGATTGGGACGCTGGATTGATTTTAAGAATGACTACAAAACTCTTTATCCTGAGTTCATGGAGTCTGTCTGGTAAGTTAACTTACATACGTGGCATATATGCTTTATGAATTTGAAATGTTGACAGGGCTTCAATTATTGTAAACTTCTATTGGTCCATGTGTAACTAGAACTGTTTTGAAACATGGCAAATTCAGATTCAGAATTCAGATTAAGATGTGAAATCTTCTGATGTTGGGGTGAGGGAATTTACCTACTTTTTCAGAATAGTAGGGTTCTTCAAAATAAAGTACAACAGTAGTTCTTTTTGTGAGCCCTGAAATCTTCCTTGTCAACTGTAAAGCAACTCTGATATGTTCCTTGCTTGGTTTAGGAAGTTACATTATATCTCTGCATTCTTGATGTTCTTCACACTGCCAGCTGCAAATGGATGAACTACCCAAACTCAGTTGAGCTCTGAACCTCTTTTTCAGGCCTGAATTTAGAGAGGGGGGAATCTGCTGTTGGGTTTTTCCTGGCAACATAGTTTGCTTGCTATCTTGGGCTCCTGGTGCAGAGCTAGGGTAAAGTTTGGGTATTGCGACGGTGTGTTCAGGGTGACTGTTGGAATTGCAAAAGATAAGATGACCTACTAGGTTAAGGATAATGAAATTGACCTAACACAGTGAAGAAATGGCAACTTTGTGTGATAGAATTACAAGGTGAATTGCAGGGAGAGGCTTAGCAAAGTGTATGCTGACAAAAGGCCATTGAAAAGTAATTTATATGCATGTTAAAGTACTATTAATGTTCTTTAATAATATTTGTACTAATAACCTTTAATTGTATAGTTAGTTACATGCAGTTACGATAAAGGATTGACAGAATTTGTCTTTGAAGCCATTATAGAGGCTGAAGTTCCAGTGAGTTTTCAATGAGCAGATGTTTAACTTATCTGAAGAAACCTTGCCTAATGATAAAGATAAGACTGATAAGAAATGGAACCTTCGTTTTATAAGTTATAAAAATACTTTGTGCTACCTTAAATTCTGCTTAAGTAGCATCCTCCAAGGATCATTTAAAAACCAAACTTGACTTAAACTAGTGGCAGTGTCTCTCTCAAAAGCTCAAGCCTCTTTTTGTGGGTGTCTGTGGTTTGGTTGTGTGGTGTCTTTTTTTTTTTTTTTTCTTTCCCTCTTTGAAAGAAAATGTTTAGCCTTTCACCTGCCTCACAGGGAATACCCTCTTTAACACTTGCTTTGGATACAGAGCCTAAAATAGAAACTTTGGATCTGAAATCTCTCTGGTATGAGCTTTCAGGAAGTGTGTAAGCAGACAGCCTCTTAATTTTGTGCTTTTTCTTCCTGATGTTATTAATTTTCCGTGTAATCATGCAGTGAAATACATTTTTAAAAGTGTTTTTAAAGCCTCCTGAGTCTGGCACGGGTAGGTTACAATGCCATTGCCAGCTTGCTCTCCTGTAGGACAGGAGGTGGAACCACTGATGTTGGCACAGAGTGGATGGAGGAGGGGAAAAGGAAAGGAGTGTGGGATACCTGGTTCAAGGCGGAGGGAGATAATGCTCAAGGAAAACAGTGTAATTGAAGTAAAAGCAGTGCTTTTGGCAGGGTAATGCACCATTTTCTAAAGAAAACCCCATTACTTAGAAGTTACAGAACATTACTTGGGCAATGATCAAGCTGAAAATCTGTTACTGAAGTTGCATTTTACATCATTAAGAGTGTTCATTTCAGTGGTAGATTCTAGTGTGCTTCTCTTAAAATCAGTTTGATTTTTTGTTTTAATAGGAGTTCTTTTTTGAATAATTAAAGTTTTAAAATGTCAGTGTTCAGCTAAGTATAACAGAGAAGCTGCAGATTTACTTCTGCATTGACTGTAAAGTCAAAAAAATCACACTGATAATAATAATGGTAGTGAGCATGTCAATCATGGATTTTTTTTGTTAAAATATAATAAGAATTTTGCCTTTAGTCCTTTAGTCGGCTAAACATGGTTTTTAAGGTTGGGGTGTTTTTTTTGTCTCTATCTCTTCCTGAGGCTTGCAGGTCTGGAGTGGTCTCAACTGGAATTTCTAGCTTTCTATGAAAGGTGGTGTTTTCATCCATGATGTTTACGTTGAGTTCAGTGAGCTGATTTGATACTTGTGATAAATGGTGTTTCCAGTGGTAACTGATTTTTATCCAAATTATTTAGAATTGAAATAGTTTAGGACTTGGACACCAAACATCTTTTTGTTAATATGCATGTGTTTTGTAGCGATACTGTACAGGCTCAGGTTTCTAGAGAGCATTCTTTATCATATTTTATGAGGGGTTTGTTGGAAGTGGCTGCTGTGTGAGCATTTTGGTGCTATGCCATATGGTGGCTGACAGAGTGGAATGAATTTAAAGCCTGCTAAGTTTTAACTTTGAAACACAGCTTCATCCAGTGCTAAAATGTGCTACAATTTTTCAGGGGAACGTTGAAGGTTGGTGTCATTAAGAGGTGATACTGCAGTGATTTCTCATGTGAAGATAGTCATGTCTTAAATAACTTAAACAGAACTTTTAAATTCTGATCTGGCAGAACCTCTGTATCTGTCCTGCAGCCAGCTTGAATCTCAGTGGAAATAATGTTCTGCGGTCAGAGCAGTGGCATGTTTCTGGTTCTGGTGACCGGGGGTTTTAGTTTCCTCCTTTGCACAACTTGAGGGGTAGTTAAACCTCATTCTGTCACCATCCAGTGGCTAAATTTAGCAATTGCAGCCTGAGCGTAATTCGGGTTTAAAAACGGTCGAAAGCTCGCTTTTGAGAGACTTGCTTGTATGGTGGGAGAAGCACTTCTTGGCTCCTTCTGTATGCTACAAAGATCCTCTCGACTCCTTTTGTGACAATGCTAGATAGTGACTGGGGAGAAAGGAAAGTATTGCTAGTTACAGTAGAAAATTGGTACTCTACACGACTGAGATCGTGGCTGTACACTGAAAACTCAGTTCACTGTGGAAACATGGTATGGAACAGCCTTGGGTGATGGGACTTTTGTCCATTTCTGCCTTCCCTCCACGAGACCCATCTCGGTTGTTGCAGCTTCAATTTTCTTTTTAGGATTCTTACTAAGAGAGGACCTCTCCTTCTTTACCTTCCTCCCAGCCCTGCCCTTTGGTGGTCCATAGTACCATCAGGCTTATATTTATTTTATAAAATAAAAATTTTATAAAATAAAAATTACATTTTATGTATTCTGTGACTCTTCAATGATTCTCTAGAGTGATATGTTCATAAGAAATCTGTTTTGTCCATTTTTCTACTAGCTATCTTTGGTTTTTTTTCCTTATCTTTGTCTATCTTTTGGACGTTTAGTGCTCTAGTCCCTCTGTTGTTTTGTCTCCTCATTTGTATTTTCAAGGAAGAATACACCGAACTTCTACTTAGTTGAATGATCTTTGGGGTAAGTAGCATCAGTTTTAGTTATTTATATTTTCTACTCTTTAGGTATTTTTCATTTCTGGCTTGTTCCAGGATCATTTAACAGACAGATCCAAAGATCACAGCTTGGAGGGTAGACCTGGGGCAGAGTGACCTCTGTTTGCTGAGGTTTTAAAGCTTTTGTTGATAGTTGAACATAAGACTGGACAATTTCTGTACTTCCAATTCCTAGGCCCCAGAGCAAATACTTCTCCTGTCTTTCTTAAGGTGTCTTTCAGAGATGTTATTCTTAAAGACAGAGGCTGTCTGTGTTTGTTAGTGGACTTAGTGGTCCTCTTATGTTTATGCTGTTTTACTTGCGTCCAGCGTTGAGTCCTTTTTTCTTGTTTTTGTTCTCATGCATCCATTTCCAGTTGTTGTGTGCTTTTTGTTTTCATTTTGTCTTTCAATTGTTGCACATGAGTCACAGGAGAACCTTTTCCTTAGAAGCTCTGCTGCTTATGGTGCTGTTTGGATGCTGTCTACTTGCTCTGAGCTGTGTAGATGACAGGGCTTCTTACATAGTGTGGTGGTTGTGATTTTATTTCTTGTAAGTCTATCAAAGCTGTTAAATTGTCATTTTTGTCTTGACATGAACTGGTGCTGGGTCACACAGCAGTGATTTTGTTCACTTTTGAAATCATATACTTCTAGATCCTGCTGTCAGTGCTTTGCCCACCTTACTTTTTAGTCTTTATTGGTAACTGAGTTTCCAATTTCTGGATTTCTTTTCTTTCAAAATTAAAAAAGGTTCAAAGTCCCTTTACATGAGTTAGAAAATATATTTTCAGTGTTAGTAGTGAGTGCTTTTATTTTCTGGAAAGCTCAGTTTTCAAACCCTTAGAAAACACTTAGATACTGAGTCATGGCAAACAGAACTACTTGATCACTTGAAATCACTTGATACCCCAGAGGAATGGCATTAAGAACTTGAGAAGCTCTAAGGTCAAATCCTTTGCTTCGATGTGAAGTGAATGTGTATGTTTGAAGGTAGCAACTTGTGTTTCCATCTGGTGGAGGGATACTGTGAGATGTTTTTTGGGGGCTGCTAAGGGTGTGTTGAGTACTGCTTTGACGGATTCAGTATATTTTGGAAGCAAAAGCTCTGTTTGTAGTTTTATTATGTCCATGCGGTGTTCGCGTGGTGCAGGTGTGACTTGGATAAATGGATATTGTAGCCAAGTTCTAATTTCTGGGAAGCTGTGCCTGTGCTTAGAGTAACGCAGTCTGGCTTACTGTCAGAGTTTGAAACAGTTGTATCATCCTCTCCCAACACTTAAGGAAAAACAGTTTCCAGTTTGTCATTTGTTTCCAGTTTGTCATTTGTACTAGAAGTTACAGACACTTTGTATCTTTAGGGACTAGATTATCTATTAACAAGTGGCTGAAATATGCATCTGGAGTTCACCTTTTCCCAACCTCATTTTTTTTTAAGTAAAGGAATATATAAGTGCTACTCCCACAGCCACGAGGATGCAACTGAATTTGTCTGTGAGGAGAAATGTAGCAGAATTAGAGGAACAGGGTTTGATTTCTAAATTGTGAATAGAAAGAAAGGAGCTCTGTGGTTTTGTTAGCTTTGTGTTTTTCAGAAAGGACTGCAGTTTCAATTTTGCCTTAGAAACCTAGAGCCTCCTTCTTGCAAATTGTCGCAATTTTGCAAACATAAGGGTTAAAACATGTTTTGGTAGGGTATTGTCTGAAATATCATGTGTGGCATTTTGAAGGAATACACGATACCTACCTGTAAGTGCTCTTACTGTTAGCACTGGTTCATCTCCACCAGTTGCATTATTTTGGCTGGCAGTGCGGCTAACAGGCAGCTGTTTGGGCAATCCTGATGGTTTCCCTGACAAAAAAAGCTTCTGAGAACAGTTATGTGACCAGTTAGGTGTTTTTCAAGGTAAGAGAACAGCTTTTTGTAGTGATGATGAGGGCCATTGCATCAGGCAGCAGTCGCGACTCAATCATCATTCTACTTATTATGCTGGAGTGGTTGTCTGAGAGTCGATGTTACGATAAGCTACAGATGGTTGGTCGTTAGGAGAGAGCTCTGAAGGATGAGGTGGTTTGAAAGCCCTTTTTGCTCAACAAAAACTGGTCAGTTTGCAATAGGACAGAATTGCCACAGGAGGGAGATGCTGCCTTGCATTTTTAACTTGACAGCTCCATCTAGTGTTCACCTTTGCTGAGCAGTTCCCGAGTTTACAGTTATATTTACGGCTGAATTAAATATTCAGTGTTTTTCTGAGTGGTTTTCTTCTATGCTGTTAGTAGGCAGTGTTCTTCAGAAAGTGAAGTGGAGATTTTTTCTATGGATATTTTAGTTAACTCTTTTTGAAAGGCAAATAGGACACCTTCAATATAAATGCTGTCACTTGTCACAGTCTGTGTTAATTATGCTGTGAGATGCTAAGCATACATTTCAATTTTTTTTTTAAACTTCTGCAATTAGCCAGCTCAGATGTGTAGGCTGAAAGCTGATGAAACTATATTCATGAATCATTTTGGTAAGACTGGTTTATATTTACGCAAGTTTCAGTTGATACAGTCTCTGTTGTAAAACAGATGCACTCCCTACTGTGTTTTAAATTTGGGTTAGGGGTCAGACCGCCACAGCTTGCCTGTGGGTGACATATATTACTTGAACAAGGTTATTTTTGAGTTGTGTGTGGAAGGTAAGGCACCTTTGGAGTGCACAGCTCTGAAAGACTTCTGAGTTTGGTTCCTCTGTGGCAGAACTTGATGCTGCTGAGGGTCTCTTAGGCTTTATCCATCTTAGAATTCATATTATTTAATTTTTCTGATGTTAATGACCACTCATAGGAAATTTTTGACTTTTACTAGAGGTCCATGGATGAATGTGAGTGGGCTGCATGTCTTCTTCATATGACAGTCTGTCTTTTCTTCAACTGTCTCACCTGCAGGGTAACAGTAATTCTAATTAAGATACCACGTGACTTCCATGACAGCAGGCCAGTGCATATCTTTTGACATTCTTGTTTCAGGCTGCAGATAGAATTCAGTTCAGTTGTCTGCTTGCCTTTTGTGTTGAAGATTACGATTTCAAACATAAAAGGCAAGACACTGACTTAAATACAAGTCCAAATTCTCAAGCACAAAATGACAGCCTGCAGAAAAAAGCACTGCTTCCCAGGATGGGCTTGGTTGCTTAGCAATGATCTATTTGTCTGGAAAGGGACCCAGAAAAGTCATCAGGATAGTTTGAAAACATAGGTTGAGTAAAGGAGTTTTTAAAGTCAGCACTGTTTAGCAATTTGTATGTGGAATTTGAAATTATCATATTCTGCAGAAACTCTGGGGTTTTTTTTTTTAGTTGAATTTGGCATGATTTTTTAAGGCTTGGCTTCTTTTGTCTTTGCTTTTAAGGTAGCCAACCTACAAACTATGTCACTAAGTGTGTAAGTCAGGGAGACCTGATGAGCTGCTAAATCGTGACCATCTTTTGGTAAACCCTGCAGCATTCAGATACAGAGAAATGTAGGGGTTTGTCCATCACATGGACACTTGATGCTTTGCTGTGTGAAGTCTTTCTCTTGCAGCTTCTGTTCATCTTGAGCATTGACTTGGTTTGTCGTATTGTAATAGTGTCTGTGCTGTCTTTATTATTTCAAGAAGACATAAGGATCTAAATATGCTACAGGCTGTATTGAAGATTTCAATAAATGGAGGTAAAGCTTATTATGAGACTATGACCTTGGACAGGAACTAAGTCCATAATGAGATGAACTAATAAAGGAGAAGATAAATGTAATTTGTGCAACCATAGAGCTGAGTCTGTTACTTTGCATGGTCAGCTGTGGCCTCTTGTGAAAAATGCTCTTTAGATTGTCAGGATTTACATGTGTGGGTTGCAGGTACCTTTAACCTGTATTTGTCTCTTCTGTAGGACTGGTTGCTGTATTAGGTGCTTCAGATCGTGTGATAAGTGAGCAGCCATGTCACTACATGTCTTCTGAGTTGTGACTGGTTTTGGTCTTCTTAATAGTTCACACTTCAGGTGGTCTTTGTAATGAAGAAATTTGTGAAAGATTAATCAGCAATACAAATTTGTCCTTCAACTAAATGCTATGTGCTGTGCATTCATCACAGCGTGGAAAACGACAGTGGTAGAATCAGCTAAAGCTAGAAGTCAGCCAGAAATACAGTTATAATCAATCTGTCTCTCTCCTTTTGACTTGCAGATATTGTCTTTAGTTGGTGATTGATTGTTTAAACAAGATGTAATTCAGAACAGCACTCCAGCTAGAGAAGAACTCCGTTTTGCAGTTGATGTACTAAAATTGAAATGCCGAGTGCTATGCGTGTTCCTTGTTTCTTTTAGGTGGGTTTTCAGGCAACTGTATGACAAAGGACTGGTGTATAGAGGTGTTAAGGTCATGCCTTTTTCAACTGCTTGCAACACCCCACTGTCAAACTTTGAGTCCCATCAGAATTACAAGGTAAGTCAATATACATGTACATTACCTGTTGCAGTCAGATTTCTCGCTTGTCTTCGGGTTGGACTTGGAAAGCTTTAATATTTTCTGCTTGGTGGTACATAAGTGTATTATTATGCTCCAAACTGATAGTAAAAAAATAGGTAAATGGGTTAGTTTTTATTATATTCTGCTGTATTTGTTTGAATCGCTTCATCTCAGCCTTCCTCCCTGTTCTTTTTAGTTACTACTTACAGATATATGAAGTACATACTTTGGTTTATTCTGGTGAATTACTACTCTCACTTTCTCTCTGGGCTCTCAAGATGAGTGTTGTGCTGGGTTGGATTTTTTTGGTGTAATGGTTTGAAAGCAAACCAGTGAGAGAATCCAAGTCAGAAATACAATTTAATAGGAAAAAATAAAAGAAATGCAATAATACAAAGAAAAACCACAGACAGAGTCAGAATACAACCTGATACTCTGTAGTTAGGGTGGTGGTAGCAATCCAGATGAAGCAGTGATCTCATAGAAAAGATCTGGTAGCTCTTGTCCTCTGGAAGTCCAGTGGGTAAGGGCCTCCTCTGCTGTCCTGAACCCCGGTTTATATCCAGGTGGGAGCACTTGGCTCCTCCCCCTGGGCAGAGCATCTCACAATGGGTTGATGTCATTCTATGAGTCATGCAGTGGGTCCTTGATGGTCCATTAAACAGAAATAGCTCCTGGGGGAAGCTCTATAGGAGTCCTGGGGTAAGGCATGGATGGGCCCATGAACAGGGAGGACTCCGCCTGCTGGGTGGGAAGGTGTTAACATCTCCCCTGACCTCTTTCCTTATCTGTTGCAGCCTGGGGTGTGAGGTCTGTCCTGGGCAGCTGCTACCAGTGATTTTGTTAACAGCCCATGAGCAATGACATAGAGGGTATAGAATACACGGTTTTTGGTTCTACCCACATAATGATAAACTGGTCCCAGCCCCTGTAACTATGACATTTGGTAAATACTGGGAGGAGAGCTGTAGATCTGAAAAGGGGAAGGTCCTTGGCGGAGTTGAAATCTCTTGTGAGGGAATTAAGAAGAATTGTCCAAGACTGTTCAGTTGCAGAGCCATAGGATGATAATTCCTCTAAGAACCATATTCCAGGAAATGCTTTTCCTAATATAATACGTGTTTTACTATGTTTTATAAGATGTTCCTTTAAAAATCAGTCACTAGATATAGTTGATGCAGCTTCTCATTTGCAACAAACTTATATTCATACACGTGAAGGCAGAACTTGTGTCCCAGTTTTCCAGATTTCATGTTAGTTTGTCACAGAGGTTTTGTGTCCTTTCCAACCCCTCCCCTCCCAGCTTCCAAATCCTTACACTGTAAATCTTTCACTTGTGTTAGCTCTGTGCTGTTACAATATAAATTGTACATCTGGTCTTTTTTGCCTCTAGCCTAAAAAAAGGGGCAATTTCCTGGCCAAAAATAGTGTTTCAAAAGCAAATGTTTAAATAGACCTGTAGTACAATGCAGTCAGCAGATGCTAGAGCTTTCAGTACTGCCGAGGGGTATTTGACCATACTGAAGAATAAAGGTTTTATCAGTTAAGAAAGTGAGACCTGCAAAGGTATCTTGATATTTGTGACTGAAATAATTACTTTGCTTGTATTTATTAATTTACATTTTATATAGGCTCAGATTAATGAGCTTTCTGTAGAACAAAGATTTTTTTTTTTTTGGTGTGTGTGTGTACCCTTTTCCCGCAGAGCAAAGCTCTTTTCTTGAGTCTTAATGAAATATTTACATGCTATTTCTTACTGTAGAACCAGTAGTGTGTATGTGGGCTATGCTGCTTTGCCACTTCATGCAAAAAATTACCTTTTTTGTCTGCTAGAGGTGATATTTTGGAGACTGAAATATTGAGGGCCTGTACTCTGACATGGTTTATTCTTGGCAAGAACAGTCGCTGCTGGGTGTGAGGCAGCTGTTACCTTTCTCACTGTGGACAGCAGGCTTTGGCTTCTGTTTATTGATCCTGTGAGAATCGAGACACAAATCATGAGAAATTAGGATGCAAGAAGGGTGTTTAGAAACTGATGTTTAGAAACTGATGTAGGTGTCTAGTATACACTGGAGTTACCTGTGTCAGCATCTTGTATTGCATTTAACTGAGGAAGTGCTGTCTTTAGATGAGAGCAGGTATAATATTTTTAACAGATAAAATGTTCTATGATGCCAGTGCTTAGCAGCCTGGATGTTTTTATGGTTTGCAGGTTGTTTTTATCTACCTGGTCAACTTAGTGCTTCAGAAAATAAAGTGAATAACCTGCAGTGTTGTTTAACAACTGGTGGAGACAGAGCTGTAGTGATAGCTCCATCTCTGCTCAGCATTGAGCGTGGTTGGAGAGTTATGTAATATTTATGTTTTCCTGTTGACTGCACCAGATGTTCACAGAAAATTCCCTCTGGAGCAGCCCGTAGCTCAGACATAAATAGCTGCCTGGCCCATGATGCCATTAACCATTCTGTGGTGCTGGACAGGAGGTGCTGACACTAGACATGGTGAGGGGATAGGACCTGCTCATGTCTTGAGGGCCTGCAAGCATGGCACCTCTTTTTGTTTAATAGTGAAAATGTCACATTTGCAAGGTTAGACTTGCTTTTTCAATCTGCTTTACATAGTATGTGAAATGTGAAGTGACTGAATAGGACTGTTTGTCTGAACGAAAATCTTGTTTTCGTGGGGTTCTTTTATGTGAAGGTGAAGTTTTATAGAGAGCTGACAAGTTTTCTTCCACCAGATCTGGATTTTTTTATTACTCTCAAATATTGGCACAATCTTGTTTTTAAGTATCCCATTTTTTTCCCCCCCACTGTTAACCACAGCTTTTTAAGACATTGCATCTTCTTAAGTGATAGCTGCTCTTCCTGTTCCCTGACTCCAGAGGAAAAGGTGGGAAAAGGCTTTGTGTAGCAGTTCCTGAGAAACTGCTGCCTTTCCTAACAGTTGAGATTGATTATAAACCTTTAAAATGGGGTCATAAGAGGTGCCTGAGGGAACTGGCACTCAGCTGTCTGTGGTGTTCTGTCAGGTAATTCCCAAAATCTCACTGTTAATCCAGTTTTTTAACCCTGAGGCCTTGCTGGACTGGCAGTTTGCATTGGTATAATGGAGGAACGTTGTGACTTGTGTTCTCTTCAAGGTTTCTTATGCTAGCACTTCACCTTCTATCACTACAGTGATGAACTAGGCACGTTGTAAGATAGGTTTTGGTGATGGCAGTAATAGTTGGTGGTACTTAGATTTGTATTTTCTCACTAATACGTACAGAAACATTTTTATTTACCCCTCTCTCTCTTTTTGCCTCTTTGACTTTATCATGTTTTTAAGGACGTTCAAGATCCTTCGGTGATCGTGAACTTTCCACTGGATGAGGATGCAAGTGTTTCTCTTGTTGCTTGGACCACTACTCCTTGGACCTTGCCTAGTAATTTGGCCCTTTGTGTTAATCCAGAATTGCAATACGTAAAATTGCGAGGCAAGTGTTAACTAAAGTTAACATAATAAGTGTAAACTTATTATGAACGTTCCTTTCTTCAGGGCCTGTGAATACGTACTTAGATTTTGTATGATAGACTGTTTAATGCTAAATTTATAGCACTGTGCCCATGTTGGGTCAGTGGTATTTTGAAGGACAAGATTGAGTCTGCTGGTGGGATGATGAGCCTAAATTGGTAGGGTAATATTCTGGATAAAATCTGTCCTTGAAGTTAAGAGGTCAGGGTTGTCTGGGGATACAGAACGGGTTTAATTTCTGACATGTAACTTGTTATTTGTATTTACTTTCTTTAAAAAGAAATCCAAGCCTAAAATTGATTTCAATAGTAAATCTCAGAAAGGCAGCATAAAGTGCGATCGTTACCCCTAATGTCAACTTCATAATATTGATTTTTATGTAGTAATTGTCCCATCTTCCAGGTGTTTTCTTCTGTTTCAGTAACATGTACTGAAATTTTAAATTGCTTTTCTTTGGAACAGTGATAATAGACAAGGTGGGGTATTTCTGCTTATTGAACAAAAAAACCGCACTAAAAATCAGTGGACTGGATTTCATCCTGTGGTTTCTGTTTAAACTTAACTTTTGAAAAGTGTTCACTGAGTGACTGTATAGGGAAGAAGTAGCTGGACACTAGTGGTCAGTCAGCAGGATTATGCCAAGCAGTTCTATAGCTAGTATGATACCATCTGGTATAAAGACAGCTTTATTTAATGGTGCAAATGAGGGTATTAAATTAAGATTTATGTAACTTTCTGGTTTATTTTGTTTTCTAGATAATGCCACAGGAAAGTTTTACATCTTGATGGAATCCAGGCTGATAGCACTGTACAAATCTGACAGTGAATATGAGATACTTGACAGGCAAGTACATACATCATTACGCACTTATTAACTTCCCGTATGTTTATAGATCAGAAGTTAAATATTTCAAGAAGTTAGATTTTGCATTTTTCTAAAGATGGGCTTCCATGCATGTGTGTATACATTGCAAAAAAAATCTATGGAAGAGATTGAAGTCTGCTAGAACAGATCAGTCTTGTACATGAACCTGCAGAAGAAAAATTTCATTGAATCATAGGATTGTGGTGGAGAGAAGAAAAGGTTCCTTAGTCCTTTGTTTTCCTGTGTGTTTTCTTAGAAAGGTATTACTTCAAATTAAAGGTCTCAAAAAACCCTGGAGATAGTCCAAATGTGAAGTACTTTCTAAACTTTATGTAAATATTTAAAGGAAGATGGGCAAAAGTAAACCCATTGTCTTTGGCAAGCAAGTACTGCTTCTGTAGGGTGGTCTGTGAAGTGATGTAGTTAGTGGCAGTTAGTGCTTTCTGAGGACTGCTTATTCATCTTAGTTTGGTGGAAAAATGTGATTTCTTTAATAAATCAGACTGTGTAGGTGATGCAGGTATTAAATTCTGTAGCTCTCTTGGACAAAAAGTGTAGCTTAAGGACTTGTAGCTCTTGAATCCTTTTATCTAGAGCATCAGCCTGCTAAGGAGGTAAAATGCAACAAATACTTGCTGCCTTTATTCAGTCCTTTGCAGTGGGTAAAAACCAAACAAATCCAGACTAGAAAGTCGTTTGAGAATAATAGCCCTTCTTCACTGGCATTAGTTATTTTTTGTTGTATCTTTATTTTTTACCAAACAATCAAAAGCTTTACATGTAGAAAAACATTTATAAATGGCTCATGCTGTGACAGTTGAGTAATTCTTATTTTGTATTTCTGCATTGATTCCCCCTCACAACTGAATTTTCTTCATCTCTCACTGACTCTGGAGCAATTTAAGCTGGCACTCAATTTGTAAAGATCATTTTCAGTGCTCTCATTCTTCAAGGCTGACAGAACTTCTGATCTCCAGACTTTTTTACCTTCCTTCAGAGTCATCAGTAAAACCACTGAATAGTCAGTGTTATGGTAGTTTCTGCCACAATACCACTGGAAGTTTTCTTTCAGTCCAATACTGAATTCTCAAAGTGGTTGTGCAGCCATGTAAGCAGTCACCCCGTTAAAATATTTGTGTGTTTCAGAATATGTCCAAGTGTTAAAAGTTGTCTTCTTAATGTTAAGACTTAAATCTAGCTATCTGCTTCCTTGCTATCTGAGCTGTTAGTCTGCTTTAAAATCATTTGGCATTCTTGGTAAGTTCATATTGTATGTTCTTCAGCACTTGACTTTTTAAAATCTCTTTAGCCATTTAAAATTGGATCAGGTTGTGCTAGTCTGACTGGTTTTTAGGTCCATCAATACTCCTGTCTTCAAGCATATGAACTGTGTTTCTTCCCAGTCCTTTGAAACCTCTTCAGAGTGTATAATAAGTAATCCTGGTACCAAACCCACTCTGTTTTCTTTTTGAATGCATTTCATTAAACTTTTTTTTTTTTTTTTTAAAAAGCAAGGTAGATGTATTAAACTTGTTGATCTATTGTATTTTCATTCCAAATTCTTCTTTTTATAGAATACTGCAAATTTAATTTGTTCGGTTGTAGCCATTCAATGTCTAGGAATGCACTGAATTTTTCAGCCTTTTTGGTGTACTGTTTTCATCAGAATTATAAAATACCTGCTCTTTAAGACAATTGTACACTTTTCAGTTGTTGCTTATTGCCCTGGCTGGTTGTATTTGTAATGTTCTGTGGTGTGTTTTTTTTTTTTTTTTTGCCCCCCCCCCCCTTAATATTTGATTGGTTGACTTATTTTTTTAATCTCTCTGTGCCTATACGTAAGGCTGAGAGCAATTTTTATTCTCCTTGCAGAGCAGTGTATTTTTTTTTCTTCTGTATTAGTGCTGCAGTCTTCTCAAGCTGATGTTTTTTTTTGGTCATGCTGCAATTTTTGTTATATAATAAATTAGTTCTCTCAAATATGAAAAGCAAGATAACCAAGAGGTAACTGATAATCAAATGGCTCTTTTAAAGATTTAGATCTATGATTATATAAGTTCATGGAAATGAATTTTGATTTCTACTCTTAACTTTTTTGTTTCTTAGCTAACTTGTAAATTCTTAGGCAGTTAGGCCCTTGGGGAAGAAATTCATGACATTTGCTCTGTACCAGGTGGCAGGCTGAGGTTAAAGCATGATCCTATTGAAAAATTTCTGTATCTGAAGTCATCTGAACTTCCTGAGTACTTCCCATCCTGCCTTGAACCTGCCTTTTCTCTCCCCTTTCCTCCTAGATGCAGATGGTAGGTTTTTGTGTGAGAGCAAATGGGAATACTCTTCTTTTTTTCACCGATGAGGTTACTACCATATATATCAGAGTACTTTTGGCTGCTTGGCACTAGTGAGTTGATCTTGGTGTATTACTCTGCTTCTGGCCATGGAGTGGCTGCTTGTTTTATTAAACAGTGTTAAATACAAAATTATTAAGGAGCATTTTTGTCTCTTTCTGTTACATTTCAGTCTAGTTACATTGTAAATGGTTCCTTATTTTACACTTTTCCACTGTTTTCTCTCCTTGGATTCTAGGGAATGCAAAAAAGAGTTCCTCATCTCTTGAGAGTGAAGGATGACTATAGTAATTTTAACTTAGTCTCCTGTTACTCTAACATAAGTCACAATAAGGCAGCACTGTATAAATTTTCAGCTTGAGGTTCAGGATTTCGATAAACAAAGTATTTCAGATCTCAAAAGAGTAAGTCAGGCATGTGATCCCTAACCCTTACCTTTCACTGACTTGTGTTAAATAAGAATTTAACTTTTTTTTTATTATTTAAAGCCAGTTTTAGCACATGTTCTGTCCGGGCATTCCCACATCTGTGTGGCTGAGCATGGGGCCGATTTTCTCTCATCTGATCCCGATTAAGCACCTCAAACATTCCTAAGGCTGTTTGTGGTATAAAACATAAACCATCCACGAAGCTGTGGCTTAAAATAGAAATCTCCCCTTTTCCTAGTGGATATTATGTATGTCGAGCTGAGGAGTCATGCTCTTTAACTTGGCATTAAATCTGCCTGAGTTCCTTTCTGTGCAGTGAAACAGCTTTGAAGAGTCCCCTGCTTTGAAGCAGTCAAGTGTTTTATGGCTTGACCATTGTTTTGGAAGATGTGGATCAAGAAGAGTATATGGAAAGCCCACAGCTGCGACACTTTTGGGGAGCTGTCCCATCTATTAGATGAAGTTGTGTTTTAAGTAGACTTCTTCCTGAAATGGATGATTTAAGCACTTGCAGGAGAGTTCTGAGCAGTGCATCCCAACCTAATTACTATCTTTGTCAACTACTATCAGAAGTCTGAAGAGGGCCAGGTCTACAGGGCTCTGTCTTAGGCTGCATTTGGTTCCTCAGTATTCCACCTTCCTCCGAGATGCCCATGGAGAGTCTGGATGGCTAGTTTTTGAGTAAGGAATGTGCCATCCAAACTTTAAACACTGCAATATCCTGTATCACAATCTGTGATACATAACCTTCTAGATGGTTTGGATTAGCTTATTTAGTTCTGTTGAACATGCTGACCTATAGGGCTTTGTTATAAATATTAAACTGAAAATGTGTTTTATCTAGAAACTCCTTGCCCAGCTTTACTGGAAGGAGATTGTTATTAATGCTGAATTTCTTCATTACTTTACAACTATTGTTTGATTGAAAGACCATCAGGTACAAGTGTACCCATGGACTGTTAGGGGTGCATTGGGACATGTTATGGTTTTTGTCCAAGTCCAAATTTCCAAAGAGTTGTAGAAATCGAAGGCAAACTACTGAGAAAATACTTTTTTTCTTCAACTTAGGAAGTCAAGTTTTGTTAGAGATGGGGAAAAGGGGAGCAGGAATAAAGTATTCCTACCAGCGGACTATGCAATTCTTAAGTTGTTAATTTATGTTCATGTAAATCCTTCTCCTCAGGTTTCCTGGCATTGTTCTTAAAGGCAAGAAATATAAACCCCTCTTTGACTATTTTATTCAGGTAAGAAGAACACATTTGGTGTTTGATACAGCATACAAACACAAAAATAAAAACTATTCTCAATATTCCCTTTTTATATTATAAAAATCCTGTGTCCTAACAACAAATCTCAGTTTGGATGAAACTAGTTCAAAAACTGACAGGTTGAGAAAGACAGAGTTGTTTCTTTTTTCTGTAGCTTTTTCCCCCCCTAAGTTTTAAATACGGCCAGAGTAAGGATTCCAGTGATAAATAGGAGTTCAGTTTCAGATTGCAGAGAAACTTCTAATACATATTAATAAATAGCCAGTATTCTCTCAGCTTATCATCTGGTGAGCTTCTATTGTCTGCCTATTGAGAATACAAAATCTGGAGACTTAAGAGGAGTTTGACTGCAGATAATGTTTGCAGATGTTGGTTTTTTCTTAGAGTTAAAAGCCTTTGCTAAAATAATTACTGATACCTGTTTTTTTTTTTTTTGTGGATGTTCTCCTGGGCAGCATTTAAGCATTGCATAAATTTAGTATCATTAATAGCAACATGAATGATAATAGAATAGCAGTAAGAGAGGGGGTGAGGAATTTCTGTGTCAAAAAAATGTTGATTTTAAAATGGATCAAACTTTTCAAAGAGTTGAAGTGGATTACAGTACTGCTGGACAAGCAGTTGTTCACTCCTGTGAGAGATTTGGTCATTTGTGACTACTGGCTGTTCTGAAGCGTGTGCTGAAATCAGCAAAGGTGTGAAAGCCTCTGTTATTTCTAGAGAAAGGTCACACACATAGCTGAATCTGAAAAATGGGACTGCATGTGTAGAGGGTTGGGAGGGATAAAGTTGAGTCCTGTTGAATCTCCCATTTCTCTTTTAGAATGGATGTCTATCTCAATATATCCTTCCTTAGAAAAAGCCAAACCTATAGTTCATAACGTATCTGGTTCAGCTGTGACTGCAGTAGTCTTTTTTACTACTTTTGTACTAAGGAATAGAAAATAGCTCCTTATTTTTCATTATCTACATACTGAACGCACTGAAAATTGTCAGATCTTTTCTTTCTTTTTTTTCACTTGATACTTAGCACCTTCTCATTCTCTGGAGGAAATAAAGAAATACATGACTATAAAAGGAAACTTCTTTTTTAAAATTACAAGGTACAGTGGACATACAAAGATGCAAGGAGACTGCTGTATATACAATCCCTGTAGCTTTCTTGGTAGTATCCTCACAGGAGTATATTGGTTTGTAGTCTGTTAAGCACAGACTGTGTGAAGATCTGTAGCTTGAAGAGTAACTGACTATGAGACCTTCTGGAAAGGTCTTAGATGTAGTCACATTTGGTACTGTTTAAGTGAAGTATACATCCTGGATGTCTTAGTATGGAAAATGATTAAATCATGTCAGGCATGTCATATTTTTACTGTGTCACTTATTTTTGATGCAGTTCTTTACCCTTGCAAGTGACTTTTCTATGTTCTTAAGAATTCTGTTTTGCTGTGTATTTATGTGTGTGTGTGTGTGTGTGTATATATATATGAAAAACCTGTTTTTGTGTTCCAGTGCAAAGATAAAGGTGCCTTTGCTGTTGTAGTGGACAGTTACGTGAAGGAGGAGGAAGGCACGGGTGTTGTACATCAGGCCCCCTATTTTGGTGCTGTGAGTATGAACCACTTATCTGAAGAGTTAATTTTATTCCAACACACACTGCTTGGCTTTCCAGCTACTGAGGCCTGTGTTGGGGTGACTGTGACATTAAACAATCCTCCCATTTGCTACTTAAAATTGTAAGAATACAACATAGCATTGTACTCCGAGTTCGTGCACTCACTAGTGCCCTTTCTGTGCTGGACTGGAGAGTTTGGGTGTCCCCTGGTTTGGTTATCGTTGTGATGAATGGTTATGGTTATGTGGTGTGGTTATGGTTGGTGCGTGAGCTCAGCACTCTGTCTTCTGAGCGTTACTGCTCTTAGCTTTTTTTGAAGCCTAAATTCACAGCTTTGTGAAGAAATGCTCTGTTGCACTGTTAGTCAAAACTGGCTTTGCTAAGTGTTAATTTTAGGTGGTAACAGCAGTTCTGTTCATCCCAGTGCCCCTCTTCAGTGTTTCCATTTCATCACTCATTGGGCTTTTAGAGAATGAAGAAATGCTTTGACTGCTTTTGTGCTGAGACTTTATTCCTCACTGTGAAAGGGTTTTGCTGCACTCCATTCTTTCTTCTGTCTTTATTGTCCTTTCCGTCAGTCTATTCTTCTGAAGGTTAAGAGGGATAACTTTTCATGGATTTAATAATTTCAGTTTTTAGGCACATGAATTAAATGCACTAGTTTAAACTCATTGTCCTTTTTGTACAATGGCCTGTCTTCAACCATTATCCAAAGTTACCCTCAAAAAAACTTGCAGTAGAGCTGCCAGTGCCCAGCAATTAGCAATCCCTGGACTGTGAGCTCTATCATCATTTCCAGAAACTGCTAGCATTTTTAATAGGCCTCTTTGTATTCATGAGAAATATTCCATTCTTTTCTATCTTTTTCCTGTGTTTTTCTGGAAGGTGCATCCATTGTGGTAGTGTTCCCCTTATCATGGTGAACATTGATATGAAAAGACTCCCCAGCTTAATACAGCTGTGAATAAAGAAAATGAGACTGTGCTGTATGCTACTAGTTAATGAAGAAATTCACAGTGACTGGTCAAGTGACTTTAGAGAGTTTAAAGCCCATCACACTACTCATACCTCAGACACTCCCCTATATCTTAATTTTGCAAGGACTTGACTGAGAGGGGTGAGGGAGCAGGCTTGGTTTGAGCCAGGAGCTCTTCCTATAGGAGATGGAATAAGGGAAGTGAAAGGAACAAACTGCTGATAGAGAAGGAGCACTGGAAGAAACTATCCCTGGAAGAAACTTCCTGGCTGCTGTATTTTTTTTGTTGTGTATTTGCACAATACAGTTTAGTTGTTGGAAACAGCTTGTTGGAAGGCCTGCCTGGCCAGTTAGAGCAAAGATTGTCTGCCCTCTTTGATTTGATTTTGTTCTAAGCTCACAGATATTTGTGTAAATGCAGAGGAGGGAAAAAAAAAAAAACAACCCTTTTGTCTCTCTCTCCTGGGAAGTTAGTAATTATCTTTTTTTTTTTTTTTTTAAACACAATATCAGATAAATGCATTGCAAAGAAAAAAATGCATACGATATTTTGTGTGAAGCAGAAGTACACTAACAGCACAAACAAAACTGCACTCGTTAGCTAAGGAGCAGCTTGACTTCATAGTGCATGGTGCATAGACCTGAGTCAACTGGCTGTGCTGCCTTTAGAAGGAAATTGGATGGTGTTTGTTGCAGTTAATGCTGCTGCCTTTTTCTTTTGGGATGCATGTAGTTCAGTTTTGACAGCCCATTGATTGTTTCTGTTCAGAAAGGCTCACAAAGGTTCTGGTTTAGATTCAGGAATTCATTGTTGTACGGGGTGCTCTGCATGGAACACTGAGCGAGAAGTGTGTGGGCATTAAATGTTTGTCTTCATACAAGCTCAGCTGAAGGAAGTGAGTTAACTCAGATTGTAGGTAGGACTGTCTCCCTAATTAAATGGCTTCTCTGCAACTTCCTTTACTGTTGTGTTGAAGGTGAATAGGGAAGGGGTAAGTGGAGCAGGAGGTAAGGCTCTTCGGAGAAGAAACAGAACACAGTCCTTCACTGGAAGTGTCCATCTTGTCTCCATCCCTTCCCCTCAATATAAGTAGTAAATAATCCCTTTTGATACAGAGGGATAGAAAGCAAGGGATTTTAAATCCTGCTTACTGATATGTAATCTGTGTTGCTGAAGGCTTAGTAATGTGTCTTTCTTCAAAAAAACAAAGTAAAAATTCACCTTCACTCAGTTCCAGGATGGGCAGCGTCATTGTCTTTTGTGGTGCTTTTGCCAAATACAAGCTGGCACACAGTATCAGAGCACTCTATTTCAGTTCAAGAGACATCAAAATTAAAGCTCACAGAATAAGACAAACCTGTGTTAAAAACTATGAAGTCATTGTACCTCCAGGTTAAGATGACACTTGACATGCAGCTGCTCAAGCATTTCGTAATATGTAGATGTATCTACAGTATGCTTAAAACCCTTTAGTAACATTTGAATTTGCACACAAGCCCTGTCCTGATGCCTGCTCAGTCACGGAAGTTTCAAAGATATGTTAGTACTGCACTTTCTTTTCAGTAAATTGCAAAAGTACTTTATTTTTGTTAAGAGGTGCTGAAGGTGAACCTTTTGGCTTCATGGTTTTTGTTTGGTTGGTTTTTTTTACAGTTCCAGAGAGAAAAGCTTTGAATTCTCATCAGTGAGCTGTTTAATAGCCTCTGCTTCGTTTGTTCTGTGTATTACAACTTTTAGTTGTAATCCTCTGAGAGAATTAATCGTGGCAAGGGTACCAAAGTGAACACTATGACTTCTATGCTGAAAAGAACTGAAATTTGACTTAGCTTAGCATTTGTGCATTTCTGTGTGTGCCTGAATCTATTCTTGGGTTGTGGTCAATGAAGCAAGTCTTCATTAAAACAAATGGCAGGTCAGTCTGGAAGGCTTTTACATTCAAGTTTGAGTTCTTCAAAGGAAAGGAACTAACTAGAAAACCAAATTAGCAAAGCCCTTTGTGTATCATTGGCTGTATCAGCGATGCAGTTCGGACTGAACCACCTCTTGACCTGCATCCCACGAAGTGGAAGGTTTTTTATGATGTTTTAGCTGGGTTGTGAGCATGCCAAGCTTTGTAGTCTTTGTTGGCTGCTTCTTCAAAGCCTTTTACAATTCACTGCCAAATCAGGGTTGACGTTATTTCTGTCATCTGGTGTACACTTTAAACACTGCAGTCTGCTTGCTGTATCCCAGCAATAATAGCTGATGAAAAGCCAACTGAGAATGGGCTTACCTCAGTTAATCTATGGACTGAAGAAGCTGGTTGACCAAGTGGAGGCTGAAAAATCATGCTGGCTGCCCACAGCTGATGGAGAGTGGAAAGAGACTGTGGTCTAGAGTAAATGAGTGCTGTAGCTGAAGAGGTTTCTGTTTCTATGTGTAATGCCTTGGTAGATGAAGTAGCCGACTTCACTGTCGCTGTGCCTGAGTTTCTTCGTGGTAAAATATCCTGTGGATCAACAGGCAACATCTGCTAGACCTGGCTTAAGGGGCTGGTAACTACAGGTAGCTACCGTGGGTAGGGTTAGAGGTAGAGGGTGAGGACTGCAGGAAGAATCTGGAAAACCTGCTGTGTCACTGAAGCGGGCTTGCCTGGGTTGGTTCTATCTAGAAAAGGAGAATTCAGCTTGCCATGGAGCACTTGCTTATTTAACATGTATTTACACACTTGCTTCTGGTGTGGTCTCCTCGATCAAGGTGGACAAATAGCTTTAGAGTGAACTCCTGTGAAATAGCTGCTGCATTTTACAAAAGATAAAGGAGCTCTCAGCATAGAGGAGGGTAACAGTTTAGCTGCTGCCAGTTTTGGCAGGAGGGTCACTGCATGTTGTGTTTCACACTACCTAAAACTTCAGGTTTTGTCCCTGAAGTTTGTGGTTTTGTCAGAGCAGCAATACAGGAACCTCTAAGACTCAAAGCAACCCAACTCGATGCAGGTGTAGACAGGGCCTTTTTCTGGGAGGAAACTGAGGTGATTCTATGACTCTGCTGAGGGTGATCTGCAACTGTCCCCTCCTCCCTTCCTCTCCCACCCATAATAATGTTCTCTGTCCTTGGGGCAGGAAAGTGGGTAATCTGGAGTGTTAGCTGGTTAAGATGTAGACTTATTTTGACTTCAAGCTTGAAATTAAAATGGTACCTTTTCTGTTCCCCTAGTAATTGTTTTAATCTTCTTTAAGATACCATTGTTGTTTAGTTATGTTCAGGCAAGTCTGAAGTGGCCATCTCTTTCTTATTTTTTTTTCTTTGTGTCTTACTGCTACAGGAAATTTTAAACAGAGGCTGGCGAGGAAAATAAACTGTGATATTATCCATGTGTGGTTCTTGGTCAGTAGCATGGCCTATGGGCCAACAAAGATTGAGAAACACAGACTTAAAGGCTTTGGATTATTAAGACATGCAGAAAATGAGATTTCTTATGTTGATTTCCAGAATGAGATTGATTAAAACAACCTGCCTTCTGAAAAATGCTGTGAAGGCTTGTTTGCTAAACAGACACAGGTTCTGTGGCTGGTACAAGAGGTTTACACTGGGGTTACCAGTTCTTCACTGTGGAATAGTAGCCTGAAGCTGTTGACTACATGTATGCTTGTACATACACACATAAAATGTGTTCATATATGTGCATGTTTATGTATATGCACAGAAGCACGTGCATGTATCCCCACTGCTAGGTGAACAAAAACATATTCTGAAGAAATCGTCCTTTCTCTGATGAATAAAAACACCTATACACCTGTAAAATAAATATTTTCCTATGTGTATTTGGAATTAGTGAAGTCTCGGTATTTTGCCATTCTTGTCTGGCCATTGCATTTTCTATGTGATATTTAATTTCTTTTTCAAGGGATGGATATTTTAACCGGTGTTTTGTAGTTCTGTAACTCAGCACTTTTCTGTAGGATGATTACAGAGTCTGCATGGATTTTAACATCATTCAGAAAGATTCTGCACCCGTCTGCCCTGTTGATGCATCAGGCTGCTTCACAGCAGAAGTGGCTGACTTTGCTGGACAGTATGTGAAGGTTAGTGGTCTTGGAGAAAGGAAACTACTACTTTATTAAATTTTATGTCTGGTGGAAGTGTTCTTTCTTTCCATGAGTGGCTTTGTCTTCAATATGTCTTTTGTATCTGGAAAAAAAAAAATCTGTTTCAGTGGTTGCAACAATGGCTCAGTTGTTGCAATTTAAACACAAATAATGTTGTAGCTAGTAGTGAAAAGGAGGAGGAGTGTTTCCTGTTTGGATCTATGATAGTTTCGCTTTTTCCTTGTTTCTTTCCGAAATGTTATGGGGACTCTCTCTAGGCGAGTGTGCAGGAGGCCTTCCTTACCTCTGGATGACTTCTGAATTCACAGAAGTCGTCATTAAGTTTATACCATCCAGCTAAGTATAACAAGACCTGTTAGAGGAGAGGAATCCAGTCATTTTCCCCACTTGTGCAATGTTGCTGTGTGAATTTACTTACCAGTAGCTGCAAGAGAATCCACATAAAAGGAACCCACACCACTCCAGATTGCTCCAGACACACATCCATAGAGAGGAGTCCCTCTTTATTCTGTGTGCCAAGAAAACAAATTGGTTTTAGTACCTTTCCTGCTGCTACAATTTGATAGCAAAGCATCTTCCTGTAAACAAAATTTACTTGAAAAAGACTTAAAAATCTTATGTAGCATTTGAACTCAGCTATCATTGCTTCCTGCTATATTAAGGCAAATAAGAGAACTCTAGAGGCTACATATTTATTCTTGCTGGTAAGAATCTGAACTAAAGCCTCTTGGAAAATATTCTTATGATGCCAACTTCTTAGCTTATGAACGTTGCTGTATCATAAATATTTGTGGGATTTTTCTTTAATCTCATGTCGACACTTGTTTGTTCATTAGGTTGGTTTCAATTAAGATACAACTTTCTTATCCAAATTAGAGTGTAAATCCTATTTAGTCACTAAGGTATTGTAAAAGGTGCCTCAACTTCTGTAACTAGTCACATTAGGTATTAAATTATGTGAGTTCAGACATGTATTAGTGCTACAGAAAATTTTAATTTTATACACAGTTGTGCCTATGTAGAAATAGTTAAGGGCAAAAAAGGATTTATGCTGTATACCAGGATTTGGAGAGCAAATAACTTTCTGAATTTACTGTTTTTGAAGTGTCTCTGCAGTAAGTGCATAAACTGTATAGAAGCTTTTTGAATTTTTTTTTTTTTTTTTTAATGTGTGTAAATACTGGATTATTTGTAGGGGTTTTCTTAATTTTGGGTATCGGAGAGAAATCCTGTAGCATCTTACTGGAAAAGTGAAATTTGTATTGCAAAGAAAATTTTTTGTTCTGTCTTTTTAGGATGCAGATAAGAACATCATTAAATTACTGAAAGAGAAAGGCAGACTGGTTCACAGCAGTAGTTATAAGCACAGCTATCCTTTCTGCTGGAGGTAAGGAGAGAAGTGCATATGGCTTGAAGATTGAGGCTTCTGAGTAGTTCTTCAGCTTTGTCACATTTTTCCCTTCCCTTGACCTACTTAATTTTTTTAACAAGACTAAAAGTAACAGAAACCAAGATTATTGAATTAGGAGAGTTCCAATTTTTGGCTTGGTAATCGAGTAATTTTTTTGTTTTATGTAAATATGATGGATTTAAGTGTAGTACTGATTTTTTTTTTTTTTTGTTTTTCGATTATAAATTTAAAGGTGTGCTTTTGAGGTTTTCCATTCTTCAGTGTTGCATGTGGTACTGTTAACTACCTTTTGAAGATGGCTATAATAAATCTAAAAAAAGCTTATTTTCTAAGCAGCTAAGTACTGAGTGTTGGAAAAAGATACTTTGGTACCCTTTGAATTGTATCCAAATAAGTCTATTGCAGAATGTCTTTGAATGTTTGAGTTCAAACTTTCCACGTTTTGGATAAAAAACCAACAGCTGTGTTATAGCTGCTATCATAGTTACTTCTTTTTAACTTTGTAAAATTATTTCTTTCTCTGGAATCTGGTGGAGCCCAGTTGCTTTTAATGTGGAAATGCCTGTATTTTTGATTAAAGTCAAAGTTAGCATTTATCCACTGTGCAGTGGGTAGTAAGTGTCACACAAATACATTTTTCTGCTCAGTTGTTCCCGAGTGGAGTTCAAGAACAATGGTTATGTCTCTAATCAGAAACCACAGTTGACATATTTATGATATGTGGGGGGACTTCTTAGAAATGTTTGTATTTGTCAATTAGAAAGGTTAACCTTGGAATGTCAGGTAGGTGGGTCAGCAAAGGTCAGGTGACCTGTCACAAATCCTCCTTGTCAGGCTGGGGATTCTGCAGAAGTTGGAGTACTCCATGGGCCTTTGGTTATGGGAAATAAAGGCTAGGCAAGTTTAATCTAGAAATGAATCATGTTTTTATTAGCATCCTCTCCTGTTTTAAATGTATATAATTGCTGTGGAAAAAATGACAAAACAAATTGCTGAACAATGTCAAACTTGAAAACAAAACAACTTCAGTAATCTTTTAGTAGGAATATTTTATTAAACAGTTCTATTACAAGTAAAGACACACTTCAGAAAAATAAAATATCTGATTTTGTGTCTGAAATGGCATTAACTTTTTAAGTCATATCTGATTCATGTAACACCTGTACTGAAGTAACTGTGATAAAAGCTTTTCTCTGTCTTGCTTTAATACTGCTCGGTGAAGTGTTTTTGCTGTGTGCATTTATCTTTGATCTGTAGCAAGAGTAACCTTTACTTGCTCTTGAATAGCATGATTGGTTTGTTTCCAACAGCTACCTAGAGGAAGAAGGGGAATTACTCTTCAAGTGTTATGTCCTTAGTGATTTGGGACAATTTTTGAAGCAGCACAAACCCAAAGACAAACCAGTACTGTAGAAATGCTGACTCTGTAGAACATACTTAATCCTGCCACTCTGTTGACATTTTTTGTTGATTGATGATAAGTTGCAGGCAGCACCTAGCAGCAAATTATTTGGTGGGAAGAACAGAACAATGGATTCTTCTTAAAAAGCTCATTTCACTGCCATCACAAATCAAACCATAATTGGAATTTGCTAAAAGTAGAAGAGTAGTTCTTAACTTCAAACTGAGTTACAAATTATTTTGATTAATGTAAGAAAACTTTGAAATCGGTCTCTTCTGCTTAAAGTACTTTTGCTCATGCTTTTGCCTGAGACCAGGCAGTTGTTGAGTCCCCAGTATATCGAGATATTTTCCCTCTTCTTATATATCATCACACTGAGGTCCTTCTCTACGTTTTCTTGTTAGTGGGATATTTAGTAATTTTCTGTCAACTAAACCTTGGAAACTGATAGAGGAAGACTAACAACTTAGGAATTACACAGTGGATGGTGTTCAGTTAGAATTCCCCTTCACTTGAGTTGCTGAAGATGGAGATCGTTGGTCAAAACCACCCTGTACATGCAGGGTTTTGAGAGTTTGTGGTCTAGGTGGCAGCTGAACACTGAAATGAGAGAGGGGACTGGCATGCCAGCTGAAGTGTCCATCGCAGCCACCGCCCTCTGTTCCTTTAGGAAGCAATATTGGGAAGCTCTGTTGTTGGCAGATACAGAACTTTGTTTTCTTCAAGATGTTGAAAGCAAAGCCAGGAAGCATCTTTCATAATGTGTAGTCAGTTATCTATCATTTGTTTCTTAAATTATGAGAAAATTGTCAGGGAATAAGAGCACAACAATTTGTTTTGAACAGCTGTGTAATTCAACACAGGTGTATGGGAAAACTGTTGGGTGTGCAGTGTCGATAGAGAATCATCTTGCCAGTCTTGATCTCTTCAAGTATCAGGTTCGTATTTCAGAGAATGCTGATTTGTGGCACTGCTAGGGAACAGGCAATTTGCTCAGGTGCTTTAATTCCTCTCATAAAGTTGTAAAGGATGTATTTCTAAGAGGAACAAAACATTGTTCAGTTGAGACAGAGAAGACTGTTCAGGCAGGAATTCTGGTTGGTTTTTTTTCTTGTCTTGTATTGATGGAAAGCACAACCCAGTAATGGGTATTTCCTATTTGATTCTGCTGCAAAGAATTGGGTCTGTTTTCCTTGACCTTCTCACTAGTCCTGAGGGGCAGAAATGTGTAAGATGGTGCTGGTGGGGCAGATGTTCAGTATATTGTTCTCTTCTGTCTCCTGCTGAGGCACTGCTTGGCAGTACACGTAGAAGAAAGCAAATATTTGGGGAAAGTGTCATCTCCCCTTTCTTATGACCTTCATGTAGGTGGAAAGAG